TTGAACTCCTTTGGATGTCTCATTAATAGATAAAAGTGGCTACTAATGAGACACTTGACTTGCCATACCAAACCACCTTTATCTCGCTCCAGAACTCCTGGAGCAAATGTCAAATCAGCTTCATTTCACCGCACTGCCCAGACGAAATGCAGCTGATTTGACCATCAAAGTGCATTTATTAAGTAAAAGTTTGACTGTGACACACCTTTGCTATAATTTCGAGCAAACAAATAATTGTTTTTAAGTGTTAATCTTGTTAAATTCTTGTTAAAGTCCTCCTGTGCATGCTCCCGCGGCCACCATTTGGCAGCCATTCGATTTTTGGCACAACACCGGCCCACGTTTCATAGTTGTCAGCAGTGACACATAATAGATGCGACTTTTATGTCGAAGTGATTTATTTATGTTTCTTCCACCTTATTAGACATATTGGGACTGATGCTACTTTTACGGCAGTGCGACGTGTACGGTGGTAAGTACAGTAGTTGTTTTACATGTTTGCACAGAGAAGCTATTCAAAAACCTTTAATGGATGTTAAAGTCTAAAAAAACATGTTTTAATCTTTCATTGTAGGTTTTACTCTAAAATACCAAACAGATCAAAATAATAAAGCATGTCTGTAATAAGAAGCGAGAGGAAAAACACATATACATATACATATATATATATATATATATATACATATACATATATATATATATATATATACACATATATATATGTTAGACAGACGTAGACAGGACAGCATTAAAAGGACCCCCCTTTACTAAAACTATCAAAGGAGGTGTGTTTTATTTCTATTTTAGAAAGTTGTGTAAACAAATTATGATTTATAAGCAGATAAACAAAAATAAATAATTTTAAATCACAATTTCAGATCAAAGTTATTAACATTCTCTGTACACAGATTAACTTTCATCTAGAGAAATACAAAACATGATTAGGATTAATAAAATAGGCACTTCTTTCTGTTTTTAAGCTTTTCCCCAGTGACGTTAGGAAACGACAGGTGTTTGTGTTCTGTAGTGTCTCTCCAGTCTAATCTGAATTAGGCACCTGTTTATTTCAGTCACAGCTGAAAGGACTTCATGAAACCTGCAGAAAGTAAAAACTGCATGTAAGTGATCAACATTCAGCTTGATTCAAGATGGACGAGTGGTGCCATGTGAGTCATCGTAGCTGCTGCAGATGAAACATGTTACAGTCAAGATGTTTTCACATCTCTATCATCCTTTCTTTGCAGAATCTTGAAAAGTATAAATGTTAGGAGTAAAGGAACTTATTGTGAAATGTCCAGCGACAGCACAATTCTTATTGTATGAGCTTTGTTGTAATTTTCAAATTTAAGTTAGCATCTATGCTAATTGTTCCTCAGCAGCCTGTGAATAATAAGTGTTTTTGGCTTTTAGTTTTGCGCACGCTTATGCATGAAAATATAATAATCAGTCAACTTTTATCTGCAAAAAGCCATTTCAAATAAAAAAAATTGTATTTCTGTGTTTCACAGTGTTATGGATTATTATCTACTAGCTTAACAGCTGCCTCTCGGTGTTTATAACAATATATATATATATATATATTCATTTCAATTCAATTCAAAAATACTTTATTAATCCCAAAGGGAAATTATTTGTTGTTGTAACTCATTATCCTCATTTCATTAAGAGATATTACAGATACTGATGGCTGTAGACAGGAAGGATCTCTTATAAAGGTCCATCCCACAGTGGATCCTAAGAAACTGGCTGCAGATGCCATCCGATCCGTCCACCCAGACTCGGCTGGCCTCTCGGTTCCCCCGGGCTGTAGGACCGCCCGAATGTCGAGCAGAACTCTTCCCAGAGTGATGGCCACTCCTCCCAGCAGTCTGCCGAGCTCCTCGTCACTGCGGACAGCCAACTGTAGGTGTCGAGGGACGATCCTGTCCTTCCACTGTCATGAGCCATGTTTCCTGTTAGTTCCAGGATCTCAGTGGTCAGGCACTCGAGCACAGCTGGCAGGTAGATGAGAATGTGTCCACAGAACATCCTTTCAACTCATTTGAGATTTGGGGCTGTAGTTGAGATATTATTTGAGCTTTTGAGATGTTAATCAGCTGCTGTTGGTTGTAGAAAACTGCCTTGTTGCCATGGTTACGCATCATAACAAATGTCCAAAACTAAAAAAG